AATAATAGAATTCGAGGGGTGAATAGATACCAGAAGAGTGGTGAGTAAATGTTGGGAAAATATTCTAACATTTATTCATCCCCTTCCTGTTTTACCGTATTGTAGAGAAATGCACGATTAAATGAATACGGTTTTTACTTTCATTTAAACGCAGTTACACTAAAAGAAAAAAAAATTAAATATATGTACTTATTACTTACTGTTAGTAGATAGTAGGGACCTTCTTGTCTACAACTAATAATCGTATGTATCTAATAACTTTTACCTATAATTTCAGATACCTACCTACACATCATGGCGCCCCTAGACTTAGAAGGCGGAACCCTTGGACAGAGACATGAACATTACAATAAATTACTCAAAGAAGCTATCAGCAGTGGTCAACCGGTTGCAGCATTTACATTAGGCGATAATGATATTGAAAACTTATTGAAGATCGATCAAGCCTGTCACGCCAGGGACGTCGACTTTATCGTTAGCGTGTTCAAGTGTGGTGACATGCTGTGCGTGTCTCGCGCACTTGCACGGTCTCCTTGGTTGGTCACTGACCCACAATATGCCAACATTATCAATTCTAACTACGTACATACAGAACTCTTCCCATATATGAATACTAAGGCATTTATTAAACTTATCAAACAAATAAGACTTAACATACAGGACGAAGTGCGCGCCGAACAATTTTATCTCTATGAAAAAAAGGATACCGACGCTTTGAAATGGTTACCAAAGTGCTCAGCCAGCTTTATAGAAGCAAACATTGAGAAGCATATTAATAATTTGAAAATCAGAACTTACAAACGACTTTGTGAAAAAACTGACAAGATATTTGAAATTGTTTTGGAGAAAACTTATTATTATGAGAGAGCAAGATATGCTCAAGTTGCAATGTTCTTATTAAAAGCTGATGTCGATAAATTCTTAGACGTCATAGAAAAAGATAGATCTAACTATATACCGAAATTTAATGATAAAGGTACTACTCTGATCATGAAGAAATCTCCGAAGAGAGTGATTGATAAATTTGATCGCTATGCATCATCGATCCATGTACCTACATTTTGTAAATATCTTAAAGCAGATGAAATTAAACCATTTTTGTACGCACAAGCTAAAAAAGATAATGATAGCAACTATGAATACTATAATTTGCGAAACTTTTTTAGATACGATACATTAAAATACTTTGTAAAAAAGTTGCCGAAAAATGAACAATTTGAATTTGTGAAGAAAATATTCATCGATAAAGAAATTGCTGATGCCGATGAGGAAAAATTAGTAGCCGGTACCGAGCAATACAATATGAGAAAGCTGTATGTTCTTGTGAGGACACCTAGTTATATCTGGTATCGGTTTGCTGATTTTGAACGAGCATTTCAGGATATAACGGAAATAATATCTAAGGATTTGGATAACCACAACATAGTGTCCATGCTGACTGTACTAATGTCTTGTGCTGAGAATAATTTACAGCACATACAAAAGTTAATCCAGTATTATCTTGACAAGCATAGAACTTTACAATCCCACTATACTTTGAAATTCACTACAGACCTATTAGATCGCACAAATATTTATCAATATGATGAGAAGACGTGGAATTTAATTAATGAATTGTTTAAAATTTTAAAAATATATGATGAACCGGATAATGTGTGGTCAAACACGGTAGCAATCATTGAATCCGTAGTTGTCTACAAAATTCTACACGATCAAATTGTTCCTGAAAATATACAAAAAAAATTCTCCTTTAAAACTTTGAAAGAACATGGAAAAAAGTTAAACAAAGAACAGAAAGAAAAAGTATTTCGTTATTTATACGAGTTTTTAATCAATAAATGTAAACCCATTACGACAGAACAGGAGTTCGGTGACACAATTACAATTTTGTCGCAGATTTTCGAGTTACTTCGCGATTGGAAAAAAGAACTTACAGATTTCACTCTTGTCACTGACAAAATTAAGGAATGCGTTAAAGTTAAAAGCGAAAATTCTTGGAAGGGGAGTTTGTTACAGTTATACAAGTTTAAGAAGTCATGGCAAAGACATATGTTCGAAGAATCTGTAATTATGAATCCATGTGAGGAGGTGTGCTTGAATGCTCTGAAACATGACCCTCTATTGCTGGAGCGTCAAAGTAACGATGTACAGTCCTTAAGATGTAACGACGCTGTCTCGCTGCGACGTCTACTTGCTAAGTTACGTATCTACTGGCCTCAATCACTCGCCACACAATGGGTCGATGCATACATGGAAAATTTAAACAAAACCGATGGTCATAAAGCTACTATCCGCGGACTCTGCACATCTTTGTCGCAGAAGCAGGTACTTGAGTTAATTGACAAATATAAGCCAAACCAAGCTAAAATTGATTGGAGTGCAGTTGATGATCGTATTCTCAGTATTCAACGATTCATTGCTAAAAATATGCACATCGCAAGACCACAACCTGTTCCAGAAAGTATACTGTTTTTCGCTAGGGGTGACTACTTACAGTACGCTCTTCCATCGCTACTGGCAATATTTTATAATTTGAGCATTATGGAAAGTAAAAAATATATCCCAAAACTTTTAGATGCACCAGTATCTGTACAAAAACATGGTATTAGACTAGCATATAAAAAGTTAGATCACGAAACGCTTAAGAAAATATTTTTTGATTGCTGGAAAGCGTCCAAGAACGTAAGCATAAGAGCGATAATATTCCAATTTACCTTTGAATTGTTATGCAATCAAAAAGACTCTGGTAACGCAGTGGGCCTGTGGGAATTGACAGAATTATTTATTGACAACCTTACATTTGAAGAAGATAAGAAAATCTATGAATTAATGTCTCGCGTAGAACAAGTTCCACGGCACGTCAGAGCAAAGTATTTGGTAAAGACTTACGATTTTATGAAAAAGCTGACACAAAAAGTTAAGGAAGAAGACCGCGATAATTACAAAAGGCTTACTGCACAGTTAGCAGAATATTCACGACAAATTATGGAGGACATCCCCCCAGAGTTTATTAAAGACCTAATACAAGAGTTCGTCGATAAAGACTTTTTTGGATTTGAAGATAACTTTGGATCAGTTCACGGAATAATATCGGTAATTTCAGCATATATACTAACCGCTAAAAATGAAAATCTCCAAGCAGAGAAATATGAAAAAGTATTTGTTCCCATTATGAAACGTGCTTTTGAAAAGTGGTCAGAAAAAAAGGACGGCAGCTTTATAATCAGGAGCAATTTTCAATGTTTGCTATCACAGCTTTCTGATGACCTAAGAGACTTTGTCGTTGAAAATAAGTTGCTGTGGCCTATTAAAATGTTTTTAGATATCAAAAGAGAACTAGAAAAGTCTATATCGATCTCGGAAAATTATATGATGTTAACTAAGTGGAAATTGACCGCAACAATAGCTCAACTAGCCGAGAAACCGTATTCAGAAGATAAAAATTGGGCGGATATTACTGCTGAAATAGCTCCCGAATTTGGTAAAATATGTTTGGATTATTTGAAAGAAGATGTAAAAACGCATTTCCCTTGTATTTACAGACTTTATTCTAAAGCTCTAAACACGCAGTTACAACTTATTTCTGAAGAAAGCAATAAAATTATAATTTATAAATGCTTCTTGGCTGAGAATGACTTCATAGAAGGATACTTAACTGCTATAGAAACCAGCAAAGACGCATACTCCTATAACAAGGATACCTATGCAGATTTATGGAACCAAATTTCGGAACACCCTTCTGTGGAAATAAAAATGCATTATTATTATAATTCTAAGAATGATTATGATGGATGCTGCTACTAATTTAATTTAGTAACATTTTTTACAAGTAACGGAACTAATTTACTAACGATTTGTGGTATTTTTATTACCTAGCTCTACCTAGGTAGGTACTCTTACCTATGTTAATGTAATAATTGCTAATATTTGTTTATTAATTAGAAACTAAAAGTATTTTTGTTATTTTTATAGTATTATTTTAAATAAAAACGAAAATACAAACTGACATATTATTTGCGAAAAGGAATCCTTAGAACACGAATAGGTAAGTAGGTACCTCTACGGTCTGCATTTAAACTTCGCATTACCAGCCTGCATATTATTAATAAGTACCTAGGGGATCTGATGGGTACCTACCTAAATTTTGAGGTACACACAGGAATGTTCCGATGCTCCGTACTAGAACCGAACCCGCTGTATATTGCGCGGCAGCCGGTTGCCCAGCCACCGCGCCCACCGACGTTATTTTAGCGTGCCAATTAAAAATATGTTGATAGGTATTAAAATGTGTGCATTACGGTTGGAGCCGCTGCCTGGGGAGAATGTGTTTCTTTTATGAATCAGTTAATGATTAAATGAAAGTCATGTTTCTTGTTCTAACATTATTTTAATGTAGACCTTTATTTTCTAAATCGCACTTAAAATATTAATCTTAGAATACCTTAAACTAAACAAGAAAATAAAGTTGGCAGAAGACTTGGCCAAAAGTAAAATACCATGTTACAAAACCCAAACTGACCAGAATTTTTAGGTTACAAATGAATATGCATATTGCCCTTTGCATATTTTCGAAATGCATTTAAAAATTAACCAATCTAATTGAGTTTACAATATTTATATCATTTCAATAAAACATTATTCTACATTTCTACAGACAAAAATAAAAAATTACAAGAAAGAATTTTTCGGTATTTATCAATAAACAAATGACGAAAATCACAGTAGAATAATAATGACGACTATCATATACAAATTCATCGCTAGAAGCGCTAGAACTTGCCAGTGTCGTATCGTCATTGACAAGACGTATGGTATGGTACCAGGGGGCTTACTCTTGAATCCAATTAATCGACATTGACATTGCGAAATTTTGTACATGAGTTGTAACACTAGCGCCCAGTGCATCCATATTGCGTGGATAATTCAATACCATTTAGGTATTAAGTATGGCTTTATATTCCATACTCTCAATGCTATTTTCACAGCTACGATTGTGGTTGTGTAGTGTTCATATTGAGCAATTATTGAGATTTTATTGATTTGAAATTGCACTGAAATTTAGATTGGTTTCAAGAATAAGCTCCCTGGAATGTACCCTGAAGGTATTGAAGGTATGTCATGTCGACGATGCGATACCTATTGGAATATAAATGATAACAGTGAAGATCTCCATTTTTAGTGATTGGACAAACAGAACCTCGCACTGAATGTGCGTCATCTAGTCAGTAAAAAAACGATAAGTAGTTCTCATTGAATCACATTCGTTTAAGTCAAGCTTAAAATAATTCGTATGCTAGCGGAAGTAAGAGTCAAAATATGTCCCGAATTGAAAGCAACTATATTCGTTAGCTTTGTGGTATTTACCGGACATTTCGCGACACACTTTTATACTCTTAGTACATATTAGTATTAAGAAATAGTAAAAAAAAAACAAATATAACTAATGTAGCTATAATTGTACACTGATGATTTTAATATGTTCTTGTCATAAATTAACATTATGACTTAATTATTTATAGACCACAGACAAATATCAAGGCAAAGACTTGATTGTGTAAGTCATAGTGAACTCTACCGCAACTAAGAAATAATCAGCAGTGATAGTCTATTTAGCAGTTTATATAGTCATGAACGTAATTTTTGTAGCAGATACTATTTAAGTCGTTTTATGATTAATATTATAATATTTTATGATTAAGTAAATGAAGACAATATTTTCATTTAAAATATGATGACCTCACAATGGAATCTTATATCAATACATAATCGTTTTTTTTTTTCTGAAAAGTACAAAACATTATGAAGACTCCCTGTTACTTAATTATAATTAGAGAGTATGTATCTACAACAATAACATTTAATCCTATGTCACTAAGTTACAATATTAAAACGAAAAATTAGCAATGAGTACTAGTATGGGCTGATTGAAACGATTGTAAAGTGGATACAACAAAAATGTTTTCATTCTTTAGTGTTGAGAATAATTTCATATTTTCAAAGATAAAATCTGAAACAAATTACATATTATGTCATTAAAAAAAATGTATATAACAAACCCTAAGCCTATAGTAATGCTATTTTATCATCAATTTTATCAAAATTACATAATTATCTGCTACTTTCATCTCTTACTCCCACTCATTCAAAGTTGACTGAGAGATGATGCATAAGGCATTAAATCAGCTAGCACAAATTGTCTGTTTTAAGTGAAATAAATAAAATAAGCTCTCTAGTTTGTACATGACGCCCCAAATGCGCTAGTCCACTACACTAAACCACTACATTGTTTGCATTGCAACCTTTTAAAAGAATCTGTTACCTCAGAATGGTCACTATTAAGTGTTGCCACATGCATTGTGTTTAACCCATTGAAATTCAGCCCCTAAATTTGTTCATACAAAAGCAGTCTCTAAACATTGGAAATAAAGTCTATAATATAGTTAGTGGAGAGCAGTCACCAGTGATTGCTTGAATACATTCCCAAGCTTAAGATCCACTTTTCACAAGTTTTATTATGAATCCATTGTCAACTAATAATGGATCTATTGCCATAAACAAGGCACTTTTACAGACTTGTGCTACTACTGAGATTTTCCATTTTCGAAAAATCTAAAAACCTCATTCATATTTTTGCTAACTCGCGAATCGAAACTGAGACACTCGGTTTTCACTCTCGCGAGCTCTCAATAAACAAGTCATGAGTAATAACAAAATTATAAGACAATAGTTACCTTTTCCATAAAGCAGTCAACCAAAGTATAAATCATGTAGTTATTCCTTCTAGTCGTCAGCACCAGCTTCATCGGGCGCCGGCGTATGCCACGTGAGCCTCTCCTCGTAGAATTGAATCACCACTTGAGGGCACCTTACATTAGCCTGCTTTGCTGGTACCAGGTCTGCTTCATCTGTACCCTGCCACTTCATAAGGAACATCAGCTCTCCACTGCTGTCAGTAGCACCTATAATATTTTAATTAAAGTTTGTACTTTGTTTGTATAATTGAAATAAGTCATATTTATATTCTTACGTGAATCTGAAACAAGACTTACTTAGTATATCGCACCTACGGTGCAATATCGTCACTTATGTAATTTTTGTCAAAACTTAACTGATTATGAAAGAATACTCCAAATTCACCTCTTTACTTGGTGCATTATTGTCATTTGTGTAGTAAGCAAACTGACATTGTGAGGGCATTACTGTCGTTACGGCTTTGGCGCTAATCTGGACACTATGAAAAACAATGTTTCATTGTTAAGTTTAGCGCGGGCCCCCACAATACATAAGTGACGGTATAGCACCGGAGGTACAATATGAACTTAAAATCCATGACTATTTTTACATCATCAAAAGAAAGTAATCAACACTGCCATGCAAGCTTTGAGAGATAGTCGCCAATGATCATGTACGTAGGGTATAACACTTTCAGTAAGATCCGAATACATCTACAGTAAGATACAAATACTGATATGCATAGATAACTACATTGAATGATGTAGAATACAAAAATGAAACATTTCAATAAGCCATCATGCACACATGACAAATAATATTAGAATAATAAAGAATAAGTTTCAAAATATGCAATAATTAGTTTAAAAAAACGCAAGCAGTGCCAGTTATATGCTAGTAATGCTGTTTATGAACAAAATTATATACACACCTATAATCTTTTCAGGCTCTAGTCCTCGATCAAAACCTGACGCCTTTTTGTCATCACTTTTAGCCTTCTTTGCACCTTTTAAGTCTGGAGTTGGCACAGCAGATTTGCGCTTCTTTGCATCTTTATCTACTTTGACAGTTTTACCCTCTGAAAGTAGAAACAAAATCCTATTTTATTTTTAGGTACTTATGTTCTAGTTAGCTCTCTTTAAATCAGACAGAAGTTCAAAAAAGGAAATCTTACAGCTAGGCATAACATAAACATAGATTAAATCACTATTATATAAAGCAGAAGAGTTTGTTTGTTTTTTTATTTGTTTATTTGAACACGCTAATCTCCATAGACACCAATTTCTTCAATCTGTGTACACTAGTGTGAAATAAATCTAAATCAACCCTCCAGTCAAACATCACACCTACATCCCTAATGTTAACTCTGGATATTGTGCACCCTGAGAGTCATATTTGACATCAACCTTTTAGTCCCTGAAGGCAAAGGTGATTCACAAGTTAACTCGTTGAGTACCGTCATTATAGACACAATTACAGAACAATAGCTTGCGGTCACTGGTGACCGCTTGGTGTTTGACAGTTTAATGAGTCCCTTGTTAAAAAGGATTTAAGTAGGCAGTCTAAATAAATAATGCAAGGTTTTCCAAACTATTGTGACTCATTTGGTGGGTTGCAAGTGAATTTTTATTGAGCCTTGTCTGCAGAAAAATGCACAAACCAACAATTGTTTTTTTTTCATATTGGTAATGGTTTCATTCCCTGAAGGTGGGTCCTGAGTTTAGGAACTTGATTTAGATAGGTTGTAGTACAGACAACTTTGGGAACCACTGAAATAATGTATGATTATACAGAATATAACAATTCTTACCAGCTTCCTTCTTCTTTCTTGCTTCCTCAAAAGCTGATATGAGGTCTGGGCAATCCAGATTCTCTTCTGGTTCCCAGGTATTGTCCTCATCACTGTAACCTTTCCATTTTAAATAGTATTCAACCTGGAAAAACAGTAAACAAAACCTGATTTTACTTGTTGGAATAAACTATAACAATATATATATGGATAGAACTCGAATAATTAAGCACTCGTAAAAAACTGTGGGCACTGTGGCGGTAGGTACTTCAATGAGAACAATAAGCCACTAGTTTACCTTTCCATTTCGCACACGTCGGTCTAGCACTTTTTCGACAGAGAACTCCTCCTCTCCCTCTGGTTCACCTTCCTTTTTCTTGTCAGCCATAGTTTTGAAAATCTAAGAAACTGCAATGTATAAGAAATAAACATTAGAAACTGCTTTGTTTGCTCTTTGACACTATCAGGACATACACTTTTTAATTAACTCAAATCATAAGAAATATATTAATATGTAGATGGGCTACGCAGCTAACCCCTATTATACCTACATTGCATACTTGCATAGTGCAGTGAGTGCAGTAAGCGTCTGCAGATAACCTATACTATATTCCGAATGTCCTAGGATCATACATGCCATATTTTTTTATATGTATATTGTCTTCACTAGTGTATATCACGAGTGTATATATATAGAATTGTTTTATTTGTTTTCATAACAAAATATTTGTAATTGTATACAAATTGATGCCAGCATCGTGTCCCGCCATTTTGACTAGGGTTAATACCAAATTGTTGAATCCTCCTATTCATTTTTATGTACCGTAGGGTTATTAACATTAGTTATTTGTCATAATTAGCACGACAATAATATAAACGAATCAATACTTTTCAAACGTACACACCTTTTCACTTTCGATCGCAATTCGCAAAAGTACCGGCGCACAACTCACGTTTGATTTGAGTTTGATTGAGTTGAGTTTGAGTTGGATTTTAGCATCTCAGTACCAAAGAGTATAAGTAAAAAACGGAATACTACTCTATGATTTAAGATTTGTTGTAATATGTACATGTATAGATTAGGGTTGCCAACTACTAGATTTACCATTTACCTATAGGGTTCAGTACTATCATATGACACAATCATCATAATGTCGTCGACTATCCGCAGATAGTCGATTAAACTCACCGCGTAGATTTCTGCATCATCATCATCAGTCCTTATTTGTCCACTGCTGGCCTCTGCAATGGCACGCCACTGAGCTCGGCCTTGAGCTCTTCTCATCCAACCACTGCTGCCACTTCAGGTTATTAAACTGTCAAATACCAAGCGGTCACCGGTGACCGCAACCTATTGTTCTATAATTGTGTCTGCAAAACCGGTACTCGACGAGTTAATCCATATGGCTATGTCGAAAAGCCCTCTCCATAGCTCGCTGTGCGACATTAAATTGGTAGACCAGTCGCACTGTCAGTGTCCACGTCTCGGCTCCATATGTCATTACTGGAAGGACGCACTCGTTGAAGACTTTTGTCTTCAGGCTTTGCGGTATCTGTGACGAGAAGACTTGATTAAGTTTTCTATATTATTATGCTGCCCAGCCAAGCTGTATTCTTCTACGGGCCTCCTTCTCGAAGTTGTTCCTACCAAGCTGCAGGGTTTGTCCCAGGTAGATGTATTCCTGAACAACTTCGAGAGGCGACCCGTTGAGGACAATTGTCTACAGAATGACATATTGATTGAACATTATTTTAATTTTTCCCAAGTTTATCCGGAGCCCGATGCGCGCGGAAGAATCAGCCAGGCTGCTCAGCATATTATTATATTGCAAGTCCTGCATACATAAACATTTATTGATTTCTGTATATATAAATATTTAATGTTGTCTTTTTTTTTTAAGGGGGGAAAATCATTGAATGACTGCTCCCGCCTGGGTGAGGCGGAAGGGAGTGTCAGACTCTTACTGACTAAAAACCACCCCGTTCCTTCTCCTGCACGTCGAGCCGGAGCCCCGGTTACCCGTTAGGTTCTCCGCGACTCCAAATCGGCATCGGCCGTATTGGGCCCCATCTGTGGTGGTCTGATGGCTCTTTGAGGCGCGCGCGGAACGCGACGCGCCGTACG